ACTCCTATACAAGCCACTTTGCAACCCATTTCTGCTCCACAGTTCGTCCTTTTCGTCCTGTGTCCGATTTAATAGATGTTGATCTTTTGTATGCTGGTGTCTTGATGCTGGTTTCACCACCTCCAGCATTTCATTTAATAGGGGCAGAGGTCTTGGAACATGTCAGGAAATGGAAATCGGTGTTTTCTCTTCACTGAAATGGTCCTCACTGTCCAGATAAGTATAAATTTAGAAAGTCACTTGGAAAGGACAAGTTGCACTGAGTTTGGTCAGACTGTCCTTGGAATTGCCTGAAATCTAATTTCCAAAAAAAAAAAAAATCTGTGGGATGAACAGTCAGTTGGATTTTTCTATTGGAGATTATGTATCTGAATTTCAGGAGCAGGACCACGCACCCAAACACGCTCCTTCCGGTTGCCATCTATATAGGTTCTCCCCAGTTCTGCAAACTGTTCATTCTCGTTTACGTGCCCCACCCTCCCTCTGTCCTTGTTCTCAATTCTTTAACTTCTTCACTTCTATTTAGTACATTTGGATTTGCCAGGCCCGGGAGCCGTTGCCAGTCCCCTTCGAGGCCTTCCCCAAACCGCAGCTCAATTCATGTCCAAGCATTCACCTTTACCTGCTAAAACACTGTCAATCCTAAAATGAGGACGTGGGCCCAGCTAGTGAATTACACTACAAAGGATAATAGGACATTGGTAGTATTCTTCCCATTGCCCTGTAGTCCCTATTCTTAATATCCCGTGAGACCTAAGTTGCTTTAAGAGGAATGTTTGTGTTGAACTCTGATTGTCTGATGAGGAGAATGAAAGCGCGTGGTTTGCTTTTAAACGGATTGTACAAAGCATTGGCCCTATTCAGGCATTGCTCCTGTACAGATGCAAACCTTCCCAGGCTCACCCTCCCTCGCACCACCAAAAAGCAGGTTTGCTTTTTTTTTTCTCTACAACTCACACACTACACAAGGATGATGCAACCAGCTCTGCTTAGACTACCTCACGTAATGTACAATCATTGTCCCATTGTTGCTAGGCAACCACGACCTCCATGACCTCGTTGTGGTGTTTTGCGTAAGATGGCGCAGCCATCGCTGAAAACGCACAGGCACACAGAGCATGGCTAAATAAATAAGTTTGCGCCTGGACCACTGAGACCCTGTACACCATATAAAGGAATTTTCCCATTTTGAAGTAAGTAGGTGAAATAGGCGTTAGCCAACTGGTGCAGAAGTAAATTTCTTGCCATGAGTCTTCCTTCCTATTGAGCAAGCCATTAACTGTACACTATTCAGACTGGAGAAGCATGTGGGGTTGCTGTCAAGTGTCCGGTTAGAGGCCACATAGAGTGAATGTTCTGAGGCCCACACAGCATAATTGCAGATGGACATGCAAATGGTTGTCCACACAGAACTTGTGCTCACTTTTTGAGTTACACAAGTGTAGTCATCAATTTCTAGTGAACTCACGGACAGGAAAAGTACAGTACTGTGCAAAACTCTTGAACCAGCCCTCATTTCTTTTTATTTTACTTCCAAGGACCTAGACCTTCTTGTATTATTATTATTATTATTATTATTATTATTATTATTATTATTTTAAGCACTGGTGTGGACAATAATTCTTCGGTCTTTCGAGCTTTTTCTTTGGACATTGGCTGCTTTTTCAGTCATTTTCAAACCACTCAAAGAATGAACCAGCATTGGCAAAGAACCAATTTTAAATAATATATTTAGGCTTTTTATTAGCAGTCTGCTACAAAAGGACATAATGTATTCCAATTTCTTTGGTTGAAAAATCCCACAGATAACAGATGAGCATAAAGTAGTCTTGGACCAATAAAACGATTTCTGAAAAACTATTAGTCCAAATTTTGGTAATCACTAGGTCTGTATTCAGACCTAGTGATAGCTGTGCTGCTCCTCTCTTGGACTTGGGCCCACTGTGGCTGAATAACAACCCCGGAGTAACTAACCTTGGCTACTGTTTGTCAAACTTAAATCAGCAGATTAACTGTTCTTAAAGCTGTTTTTTTTTATCATTCAGGGTTTTTTGTTATCATTTTTATTCAAGATCAAATATGTCTTATCGTTTAAAGTTTTTGAATATCTTATTCTTGCTTGAACCACTGTAATGCACTTTGCATGGGCCGTACCAATGCTTCACTCACATGCCTCAGTCATTTCCCACATCCTGGCCCCCTGCCACTGGTCTTCATGTTTTTTTGGGGTCCATTTTAAGATTTCATTTGGTTTTAAAACTTTTAAAGGCTCTGTTACAACTTCCATTTCTGAGCTGTTGACTCTGTACATCCCCCTTGAGGTTGCAAAGGTCCATAGACCAGCAGCTCCTGGTAATTCCCAAAAGCTTGATTTTAAAAAAAACAAACAAAAAAACAGGCTGACCAGGCTTTTTCAGGTGTAGCCTTTAAACCCTATAATCATCTTCCTGCCCATGTTGGAGTGCCTCACTCTTAAAACTCATTTTCACTCTTTGGCTTCTAACTCAGAATGACAGCACTGGATTGCATCTACAAAAGCACATGTGAATCTGGATTTAGATACAGCGTTTCCCACAGAAGAAGATTTTATGTGTGTGCATAACCACACATGCACAAATTTAGGCACAGTCACACTGTCATGATAAATAAGGCAGCAATATTTTGTTCCCTCTCTAGTAAATTCCCCATTTCCTAGTCAGACTCAAACTCTGCCATCTTTGACTGCAGCTTTCTTTCTTGCTGTGCAGATTGCTGAGGAACAGTATAGCTTTATCAGTTCTTCATTTTCTCAGAGTTGCCCTCAAGCTTGCAGCAGATCTCCAGAGCAGAGCAAGGGCTGCTGTCACCGGCTGTTGTGCCAGACAGTAAAGTTGGAGTTTGACTGCAGTGTGAGAGATTGGAGACAATGGAATAACAAGCACAATAGAAACCTGTCCAGCCTTCCCATAGGGAAACAGTAGAAGAACAAAGGTAGCTGTTTACAAGCTACTTAAAAACAAGAGCGCAATACTGAGCTAATCATGTTACTGTCCTGAGCAGATGAAGAAATAAAAATATATATATATTCTTGGGTGGCCTGCATGTGGGCAACACTGATATAAAAGCGACCCATTTTGTGTTGTGACATTAAACAGCAGCACTGTAACTCTGCTCTGCGTTATGAGGCCTTTTGAATGAAACCAGCTACACTGGCAGCTGCTTCTGTCCCCAGCCTGTCACAGCTGTGTATATTAGACATAATGAGCCACTGGGATATAAGTGGGATTTAAGAACTTGTTTCATTGGCCAGTGTTTGATCAAACCAGCTGAGAATATTACACAGACAGGCGTGTGTGTGTGTGTGAGACTGGACTGACACACACACCTTCATACACCAAGTTGCTTTCTGCACAATGCTCAGTCTTTTGCAATTTCTATTGCACTGACGTGTCTGCACTGTCTTTGTTTTGTTTGCAATTTTTGCACATTGCACTTTATATAGACCTGTGTTGATTGTCTATGTCATATGTAACACCACAGTCTTGGAGGAATGTTGTTTGTTTTCATTGTGTACTGTACCACTGCACATGGTTGGAATGACAATAAAGCCAGTTGATTTGACTTGACTTGACCTTTAAAGACATTCTCACACATCTAGTGTCACTCCTGCTAATCCTTCCTGAGCTTGTCTTTTAAAAGTTGCTAGAATGGAAACAAACAAGCGCTCCAGCCATGAAAAACTCAGTAGATCTTTCACTACTTGTCATTTGAAACATTTGCACTTCAGGTGCCATTTACTGCTGCCAACATATGAAGATGTATCAAGTAGCTTTCTGAAGAGCAGCTGAGCAGGTGTCCATGTGAAACTGGTATTTGTGTAAAGGCAGACAGTGACATTCCAGATGGAAATCTCATAATCCTTGAAAAGCAGTCGGTGTCAACAATGTTGGCAGTTTCCTAAAGCACCACTTTTGCTTCTTCTTCTTTCTTTCTTTTTTCCTTTTAGTAAGTTGCTCTCACACATTCTTTACTATCTGATCAGACAGTTAACCTTTGATCAGCTGTTGGGTGACACATTAGACACAAACAAAAACTGATGTTTCCACACAGCAGGACCTCATGGTTAAACTAAGTAATTGAGACTGACAAAGTCTCGCTCTTTGCTCTGTGCCTGACCTTTTTGCAATCAGCTGCCCTTCAGCTTTTTCTTGTCATAAGAAGTGTGGGATAGTGCAGCTCAACACGCTGTGAGAAAGCAACAGCAAGAAAGAAAAGCTGGTTTAATATGTAGAGGAGAGGGAGAAATATTTTCAGTTGAGCGCTGCATGGAGTGAAAATGAAGGGGGAGGAACAATGGGAGAATCATTTTTTCAGCATTAAACAAAGTACAGGGAACACGATTGTGTGTCTTGTTAAAGCATAATAACATGTTGGATTTTATTTGGTGAAATGAATCCTTATATATTGAATCCTTTGTAATAATATTGTGCGAGATCACTTGTCTTACTTGCTTCACAGGAGGGCTGCTTTTTTAAAAACGTACAGAGCTTCTCCTCTGTCTTCACAGTTCTCATGTTTGACCGCTGTGAAAAGGCAGGATACTTCCTCCTGTAAACCTTAAGTGAGGGTGTTGAGTGTCTGTCAGCCTGCAGCAGCTCAGTCTCAATAGGTACAGTCATTTCTTCTTTTCCCATAATTTTGTTTGTGGTATTTGTTTGTTTGGTTTTTTTGATACCTAAGAATTGCATTAAGTAACCTAATTACATGTTTGTCTTGCAAACAGTTCATTTATTAGACTGACACAGAAACTGTTACATCATGATGCATAGATACTAAAATCTTAGCAGACGAATAGAAACCACCCGTGTCATATGTAACTCTCAGCAGGTTAAACTGTCATAATGAGTATATATCAGGCATTTATTTGCACCATAGATGGTATAAAAATATAGTTATATAACTTCCAGAAAAGTTAAACCAAAGCGCAATTGCCTAAAACCTGCAGTTCTTAGTGGGCACCAAGAGATGATTACTGTTGATGCAAATGGATTTATGGGAAAATGGGCCTCTGTCCTGACCTCTGTAAATATCTCACTGTTGAGGTTATCATGGGCTCAGTCACACATTTCTGCTCCTGTTGAATAAAATATTAGGTGCATTTTATAAATTTTGCTATTTCTTAGTGTCATAAAGGAGCATATTGAGGTACCATATGCTCATTGGTGAATAACTTGTGATTAACTAGTTGCCAGTGAGTGTGGTCTTACATCAATCTTTTTTTATTTATGGTTGATGCACACCCTCGACGGAGAGGCCAAAATGTTCCTGGAGAAGTGTCTGAGAGATGTGTGAGGAGATCTCATAAGAAATTCCAGCAGGCCCAAAGCCGGCCCTACTCAGGCTTCTGTGCAGAACATTATGATTCAAAGAAAACTGAAAAAATGTTAATGAATTTCAATCCTTTAAATTCCAGAAAGCTAATAACAACTTTGAGTGAGGGAGAGTGTGGGGACTCAGTGGAATAAGCATTACACACTAGATGAGACAGTATCCTTCCACTAGCAAGAGCAACTAGTTATTGAATGACTAACCTGAACTGTGTCTTAATGGAAACTTTCCAGACCAGATTCTCCAAAAAGTTTGTTTGTAAAATAATAAAAATAAATAAATAAATTAAAAAAAAAAAAAAAGCACCAGACCGCAGAGCATCTGGAAATTTGAATGGTAATTATAGGCAGTGGATCATCTCTGTGTATCAGCATGGATGAGTATTAGAGCTGGCAGTAATGCTGGAGTCTTATTTTGAGATTTGTTAGTCGCACCAAAGCGAAACATCTGTATACACAGTTTTTGCAAAAATTTTAAAAACCACGCACTCTTGTTTCTGTTCAAACCCCAACTCTTTGTTACCAAACTCACAAAAACTGTCCCTTCAGATTTGTTATTTTTGCATACAACATCTCGATGCCTCTGCTGCCTCAGTATATTTCTGAGCTGCTGCACATGATTCCTCCGGGTTTCAAGTTGGATAAATAACTTGACATCCTTTCCTACTTCCTCTTGTTTTCTCCAGCTCTCAGCAGGTCTCCCTTTGGGTGAGGTGTTCTCTCTGACATTGTCATCTCAGCCTCTCAGAGGCTGTGCTTCCAAAGGCCTTCACTCTCCCAGCCCCTAAACGTCTGTCCTCATGGGGGAGGTGGTGCAGATGCACTTCACCACGGTGGACTATGTCATTTTTGCCTTGCTGCTGGTGGCCTCAGCTGGCATTGGCCTCTTTTATGCCTTCTCTGGGGGGCGCCAGCGCACAACACAGGTAGGATTTTTTTTTATATATTGAAAGAGTACAAAGTCAATTTTCCTTTTTAAATGTTAAAGATTTGTGACGCCTGTGCTGTTTGCCACAGGAGTTCCTGATGGCTGACCGCTCAATGAGCTGCCTGCCTGTGTCCCTCTCCCTGCTGGCCACGTTTCAGTCAGCTGTGGCCATCCTGGGTGCTCCATCTGAGGTGTACACATTTGGGACAGAGTACTGGTTTCTGGGATGCTCCTATTTCCTGGGTCTTCTCATTCCAGCTCATGTATTCATACCAGTCTTCTACAGACTGCGACTGTCCAGTGCTTACGAGGTATTCACAAGAACAGTTAACATGATTAGACACCTGTATCTGGCCTTTCTGTTTGTGTTGTCTTGTTTTTGCTTTGTCATTGTCATAAGTTTCCTTGGGTTAATCTCTTATCTCTCACACACACTGTAAACAAGACAATGAACAACCATCAGGCACTTGTAGTTTGACCTGACTTGGTCTCTATTTTCTAAAATGATTACAATTAATAATCTTCTTTTTTTTTCTCTGCATTTTTCAGTTTTGCACTCTCTCAGCACACTTTTTTTTTTCTATTTTTGCCTTTCTCAAGTATGATCTCAGAGCTTAACATTCTTCTCTGTCTTATCTGTGTTACCCCTGACACATTCACATCAGAGAAACAAATGTCCTTGCCTCAAGAATCTACGTCTCTCTTTATCTAAACTCCAGTCACTGTTCCTCTATTGAGGCTTCTGGTGCTTCACTACAAATTAACTGGACAAATGACTGATGTCTAAGCCGAAGATCAGAACTTAAACAACCATTTCTGATCCTCAGTAAACATCTAATGTGCTGAATGCATATTACAGGCTGTCTCTGAGATGATATGTGGTTAGATTTTTGATTTTGCTCTTTTTTTGTTTTCTTTTACATTCTTTCTTCAACAGTATCTGGAACTGCGATTTAACAAGACTGTTCGCATATGTGGGACTGCGACCTTCATCTTTCAGATGGTATCTTTGTTTATTTGTGAATCCTTATGAATAAGTGATGTTTTAAAGTGCAATAGATACCCAGTGAAAGCTTAAATCATCTGAAACAGAGATCATATATTGCAGATTATTCTACATTTATATATCGACAGTAACTAGTAAACTGGTATTACAGTTGTCTTTAAATCAGTCTTATTGCTTTGAGCTGTTTTTAGTCACATCATTGTGAGAATTTCCAGATACAATGCAAAATCTTTACCCACCCACTGCACTGGATCACACAGCACAGTTAACAATGGGCTTCACAGTTCACCTTTATGTGCTATTTAACACTGGTAGCTTGTGCCAACAATTAATAAGGAAAAAAGAAATAAAAATTCCAAAAAACCCCAACAGACCCATGGTTAGTTAGTTCAGTCTGGGGATGCTTTAGAGTAAAGGTGTTCTGGTTGTGACACCAGTGCTTGCTGTACTGTGAGACAATCATTAGTCTCTGTGTACGGAAACATCAGGCTCCATGTAAGACATTGTTTTCCTAACTTTGTATAATCTAACAAAATTCAAGAATAGATCTCTGATAATGGAATTTGTTAGTAAAACAATAAATGAAAAGCGGACCAAAATAAACAAGAACAACTCCTAGAGTTCAAACCTCCACCGAAGCAGCTCACTCTCTAGGCGGCGTAATATTAGATATTGATTTGTGAATAACTGGGCATGAATGACTTGAGCTTATGACATAATATTATACTACAGTGCATTTCTGTGTAGCTCATTCTCTTTTGACACTTTCTTTATAGATTTAAAATGTTTTGGGGTCAGACTAAAAGAAGGGCAGATATTACTAAATGTTATTAATCCAAACAAAGTCAGCAGAATTTTAAGCTCAGTTTTAAAGTTAAAACATTTTATGAAAGTTTGACCAAAAAAAAGAAAGTCCAAAGTAACATGACATTTGAATCACTAGATATCATCCCTATATGTTGTCAGTTCAAACCATGGCTATAAGAAACAGAAGCTCTATAAAGCATTTTTATCACTTGAAGGAGAGGTCAGAGGTCACATATGTGACATATTTTAAATCTTTATATGGTGCATTTTATATGTGACACACATACTTGTTTCATTATGACTTTCAGTCGCTCCCTTTTTTTTTTTTTTTCTTTACACATTACACATTTGCAGGCATTCATTTATGCACAGGTCTGTTAAAAGTAGCACCACAGCATTTCAATCAGGTTGAGATCTGGACTTTGACTGGCTCATTGCAACACCTTGATACTTTACTTTTCCAATCGTTTTTTTTCCCCCAATAATTTTTCCAAATAAACAAAACACATAAGAACAGAATACATGAAGCATAGTTTTCTTTGTCTTTTCTTCAGAACATGTACAGACCTTTAGATAAGACTGTATCGTTTATCTTCTAAAAGATAACCCAGGCTGATAAACCTGCCCTGTACAGTGTATTTAAAAGAGCTTTATGAGTGAACTCCAAAATATGACCTCTGAACTGTGTTCTGTTTCTGGGAGTCTTACTCTTCTATATTGTTGGTTTCTTCCTCTGCAGGTCATTTATATGGGGGTAGTCTTATATGCTCCAGCACTAGCTCTTAATGCAGGTAATGCATGGGTCATTACTTAATTTTTCATGTTAGGTCACACCTAGAAGGTTGGACAACCTGTTGCAGTGTTCAATGTTTTCGTTCTGTTCAAATGCAGTGACAGGATTTGACCTATGGGGGGCAGTGCTGGCTATGGGATTGGTGTGCACTCTGTATACTGCTTTGGTAAGTCTAAATTCACCAATCTTAAGATACATTTATCAGTTTGTCATTTCGACAAAACAAGTCTTTTAAAAGATTTTCTCCAGCTGCAGCTTATATATTTCATAAGAACAAATCCTTACTAAGCAAGGGAGTGAAAAACACTGGAAAAAAGCTTAGGCAAACTTAGGAAGTTCAGATGAGATTACTTGTAATGATGAACATTATGGTCCGATGTTAATCTGCTACTGTTCCTGTCTCCCAGGGGGGGCTGAAAGCAGTGATGTGGACCGACGTGTTCCAGACGGTGGTCATGTTTGCGGGCCAACTGGCAGTCATCGTGGTGGGGACTAGTCAGGCAGGAGGAATAGCAGAGGTCTGGAGGAAAGCCATCAACGGTAGCCGTATTTCTGGACTAGAGTAAGTAGTTTGCATATTTGAAAGGCAACTAAATTATAGGAGTTCTGCTTCACTCAATGACACCAGGTAGAAAACAGGAGGTAAAAATGGAATTCAGTGATTTGCAAATGTCACAAATCCATATTTTATTTACAGCGGAACATAGAAAGACAAAAAAAATGAGCTGGAGACAATAGTCACATGATCGGGTATAAAAAGAGCTTCTTAGAGAGGCAGAGTTTCTCAGAGGTTCACCATTCTGCCAAAAGTACTGCCTTTGCATATTTTGGAACTACTTCTTGCAAAGGAGCTCTTTCACTCTCTACCTTTGTAGCCTGAACCCCAACCCTCTGGAGCGCCACACCTTCTGGACACTTGGTGTTGGGGGGGTCTTTCTGATGTTGGCTCTGTACGGTGTGAACCAAGCCCAGGTCCAGAGATACCTCAGTTCCCGCACAGAGAAAGAAGCTGTCATGTGAGTAACATAAAGTTGTCAGAAAAAGCTTTGCTAACGCCTTCTGTTTAAAAACCACTAAACCCTATTGATAACCATTTGTTCGTCACCCATCGTGCCTTTCCAGGTCCTGCTACGTAGTCTTTCCATGCCAGCAGGTTGTCCTGTGTTTAGGATGTCTGATGGGTCTGGTCATGTTTGCTCGCTATGGAGAAGACAGCCCTCTGGATAAGGGTTACGTCACGACTAATGATCAGGTGAGCTCTTATTTTATCTTTTAAAGTATCAGTAGATTATTATTAATGTTTTAATTCTAATGTTTAGTTTCTTTTTTTTTATTTTTTAGATGGTGCTGTACTTTGTGATGGATGTGTTCAGAGATCTGCCTGGGCTTCCAGGGCTGTTTGTGGCCTGCCTCTTCAGTGGAGCGCTCAGGTGAATAACCCAAGAACCACGACTGATGGTCGGGATTCACACACCCTTACACACTCTGTATTATGACTGATTTAAGGTATTGTCATCTACTATCTCTTAGTGTTAAAAGAGCACATCACATGCTGTGTGAATCCACATTGTATTCACTTTAGCAATTAAGCTAACAGAAATAGGAAAATATTAACAGGACATTTGATTCATGGAGAGATTGTTTGATTTCTGGGATTAAATCAGAACTTCAGCTATCTGTCCCTGGTGTTTACCAGATGTTTATTCAAACTAATTTGGTAGCCTTTTTGACTATGTTCATAAGACTTTACTCACAAAAATCCAGATTAACCATTACCAGATGGGTGCAGGATAGCCAAAGTACAGCAAGCTGGCTAACCTAATCTTACTTGCTAACATCCATAGCAAAATCATGAGTCTCTGCTACTACTACTACTAGAATAGCGTGATCCTTGGGGTTAACTATATATGATGTACAAAGGTATATTGACTGCAGTTCACTATGTTATTAATTGCACTGGTGTCACTATTAACAGTTGTTTCCTGGAAGTTTTCCAGAGCACTTTAAATAGAGGTCGTGTTTCTTGGATTCATCTATTTATTCGTGGCACTGATAACACTGCATACATAGCTAGATTTTGTGGCATTCTGCTGTGAAAATGGTATAAATGTATTTATTTTTTTAAGTCTTAAATTGTGTTTTTAAAAAGTGTTCTGCAAACTTAAAAGTAAATGACCGCTGAACACTTGGTCGCAATCCTTCCTGTATCAACTTTTATAGCTGGTTACTGCCTTACCACCCAGGCAGAACTACAAATGGTGTTTTAACTTCATTCATGTTATTTATAACCCTCGGACTGAACCCAGTACTTTTTTTTATTTTATTTTAATTATGAGTTTTGGCAATAACAAGTCAGGCTGGCAGAGGCTATGCTGCTTTATCAAAATGTCAAGCAGCTGTTATTCATTGTGTGTGTGTGTGTGTGTGTGTGTGTGTGTGTTGTACTTGTAGCACTCAGTCAGAAGGCATGTCATTACCCTTTTAAGTTGGTTATTAAACAATAAAATGTAGTATATAAAAACATATTGAGTCCATGTTAACACTTTTACATGCATAGTTATCAGCTTTTCTTTGATGTGCAGCCCAAAACAAAGAGTATCAGCGACTCTCGCTTGAATAGATCTCACTGTAAAAGTCAGGCGATTGAGATGATGGCGTTCTGGTTCCTGGAGGCTTGTGCAGTGCAGATGTGTTTAAACCACCCTTAACTTTCACTTAAACCGGTTTGTTTGTTTGTTTGTTTGTTTGTTTGTTTTCTTCTTCTAGCACTATTTCGTCAGCCTTCAATTCCTTAGCAACGGTAACTATGGAGGACCTGATTAAACCTCATTTTCCAAATATGACTGAAAGCAAGGCCACGCTGCTGTCCAAAGGACTCGGTGAGACAAGTGGTGGAGTTTTGTTTTCTCATCTTTGCTCTAAACATGCAGTTATGTTGGAGTTCAAGTACTGTTGTGTGACTTTAATCTGGGATTGTGTTTTTGTTTGGGGTAAAGAATAATTCACATTTTACTTGCATGCTTAATGGATTCGAGCGAATATAGCCCTTTTCTACTCTGCTGCAAGCCTCGTTCATTCGAGTGCTTTTATCTAACATTAACACTCCAATGGACACATCAGGAGTGTTAATGCATGTGGCTCACTACCTTCTGAGCCACATGCTTTTATTCTGGTATTAGTAGTAGATGTTTTCATTTTACTTGAGTGTACTGCTGTTGTTTTATTATCTTAATGTCGGCGTATTCTACTCCATATTTTTAGAGTAGGGTTTCTAGGTCAAGAAATCCTTATTTATTCTTAACTAGGGTTTGGTGTAGGCCCTCATTCACGGTCTAAAATGAGTAT